CAGAGGTGGAAAAAGGAGGAGAAAAAAGGCTTTTTTGACTTTCTAACATATCAACTAAACTGTCAAAGCTGCTACTGTAAATATTCACTCACTCCAACTACAACTACAGTACGTCGTCATACTCTTGTAATACAGCTGTACTGGCAAGCATCTTTAATTCAAACACTGGCTCTTCAATTTTACTCTGTTTGTTCTGTCCTCATGGCTGTTGTGTAGAGTCGGTCTTAACCCTTTTTGTTTACTGTCCAGTAGAGATGCCTTCTTTTTTGTGTATTTAACCCCTCTGTTTATTTCCAAGTTGCATGAGGGTACCCATTGCCCCTGCATTGCTCCCAGCAATACTAATATTGCTACTTTCAGAGTGATCAGGGAGAGCCACGCTGGGTATGGATGACTAACTGGCCCAGGGCAAGATCAATGACATGCTATATTTTCTTTAAAATGGTCTTTCAATTTGCAGGGTGCCTCTAGAGGACCATCCAGGTCTCCCAGAGGCAGCATCAATGGTGAAGGAAGTCCTCTCCCACATGTATGTTTGTTTGCATCAATTTTAGTCTTCTTTAAGACATAGTACTGTTGCTGATGTTTCACATCTATGTTCAATTAACCTCTCAAACATCCTAACAGAAAGAGGAACCTCATTCATTTGCCCAGAAGCTGCAATTAAAAGTTCCCTCAATGGAGTCATTGATTCGTGTGGGAGCCAGTCGAGCAGAAAATCTGTTTCGATCTCCCTCTAAAGAGAACCTAGTCAGAAGCCCATCACGTGACTCCTTGACCCCTGTGGGAGAAAATGATTCTCCTGCTACACCCACATATGATCCATCCTCGGATATAGAGAGTGAAGCTGAGGAGCCACCAGGAAGTGCCGACTCGCTTTCAAAAGAGCAGCTTTTGCACAGACTGAATCAAGTAGAGAGAAGTCTGGGCAAGTATAGAGGGAAGTACTCAGAGGTGAGGCTGACAAAATAGATTTCAGTGTTGATTGCAACACACCTGTTCAAATTATTGCCCTGCTGAAATAAGTAATGTTTCCCTTCCTCCTTTTCCCTTTATTTAGCTGGTTACTACATATAGAACAGTTCAAAGAGATAAAGAAAAAACACAGGTAAAATCAACTGTTTGATTTAAAACTTGTGGTAGTTTTGTAAGAAAGTTATTTAATCTCTCCTTTGATCAATTTTGATTTACCTTCTTCTCCTTAGGCCATCCTCAGTCAGAGTCAAGACAAAGCTCTCCGCAGAATAGGGGAGCTGCGAGAGGTAAGGATCATGTTGTGAATTCACTGTGAATGTATATTATTTGCATTTTCATTGAGGTTTTAAGGAAATCTCTCAAATTACACTTAGGAACTTCAGATGGACCAACAAGCCAAGAAACACCTGCAGGAAGAGTTTGATGCTGCACTAGAGGAGAAGGACCAGATGATCACCGTCCTCCAAACACAAGTTTGTTCATTAATCTATGCAAAAATGTGGTTGTTACCTAGAATAAGCTTTGGAAAAACAACAGATACACGTATTGTATATACTTTTACAATTGGAGAGGTCTGTCTGACTTGACTTCATTGTGAACTGTTAGGTAGTTCTGTTGAAGAAGCGAGTCAAGGTGGGCCCTGGTGCTCTGCTACCTGAAGAGGAGACCTCTCAGTCAGAGAATAATGACAACTCTTCTTCTGCCACACAAAGTCCATCTAAAGATCAAGGATTCGAGGCAGAGGTCACTGAGGGTAAATATTCTTCATGACTGTTTTGGTAGACCGAACATCTAATTCAAAATTTTAACAATAGGATTTTGTGTGCCAGTGTTTTAAAGAAAACATTGACATTTTTGACACTCACACAATATATTGAAGTGTAATACTGGTAATGTTTGTTCTGTACAGGAGAGGGCAACAGTGATCCATCCAAACTTTTGGAGGCTCTACAGAAGAGAGTAAAGCGGCAGGAAAACCTTCTGCAGAAGTGCAAAGAGGTGATGCGCACACACAAGGAGCGCAGCACGCAGCTGGGCAGTGAGAATGAGACTCTGCAGGAGCAGCTGCAGGAAAGGCTGCAGGAGCTGGAGAAGATGAAGGTACTTCTGACAAGATATGATGGTGATATGATCAAGGACTAACTGTAATATAAACAGCTTAAAGCATATACTTTTATAAAGGATTTTGAAAATATCAGTTATAAATAATCTACTTTTCTTTATATTCCAAATGGCTAAATCAGGTAAAACTGACCCTGTAAACGATTGACCCTAGGTTTAAGAGTATATTATTTATGTTGTGCTGAAGAATAGCAATGACAGTCATTATGGTTCACTAATAATGTAACCCTATTATGTCAGGGACACAGTGAACTACTGTGGTTCTCAGTGTCTGGGGTTCCAAACTCTGGCTGCGCTCCAGGATGATGGTTGGTGTCATGTCAGCTTGACATTACTGAACGTCAGTTTGATTGTTTTGAGAATGTGTTCCTTCAGTGCAATGATCAGCTTGTTTGTGTTATGCATAGCTGATGTTGTGCTGATGCAGCACCACATAACAAATGTTTCTAATTATAAAAACACACTGATAACTGGCTGCATATACATTGACTTGACTTAATGAGTTATGTTGAATCTGCACTCTGTTTTGGGGGCAAGACATTTTACCAAACATCTGTCTGCAATTCCAGGCTCTCACAGGTTTGTTTTCTGGTTGGTTAGGAGGGAGCACTATGTCAGAATTTTTCTTTTTTGCATCTTTCTTTATACACTTTTCAAATAAAAAAAAACAAAACATCGAAGTAGATGCTAAGCCGTGTGGCACAGACATAAATCAGACAGTGGAGATAAACAGTCAACCCAGCATTTCCTGTTTAGTAACCACTACTTAAACCAAGGTACCACAGAGACATTGCAACTACAGCTACATACCGCTGCAGTTAAACTGGGCTGTAATTTGGGTCAACTCTTGGTTGAGCAGAGTTTGTGTACACTTTCTGCTTGTTTTGCTTGTGGTTGAGGAATCCTTGGGGGTGCGGAAAACATCTTATTTTAAAGGTATGGACCGAGTCCAGTAGGGAATACAGTATATGAAGCTGAATGTTAGGAATAGAATCATTTGTATAATAAATTAAAAACACTTATTAAATAAGTTAATTTGTTTTGTGTCTAAAGGAACTGCACACAACAGAGAAGACAAAGTTAATCACTCAGCTGGGTGATGCCAAGAACCTCATCGAACAGCTGGAGCAAGACAAGGTGGGTTTTACATGTGTTATTTTTTTACCTTTAAACTCAGTTATTTTTAATACTGTGATCCCAGCTTTAGGTGTTAGAAAGTTGCAATTGCGCTCTACAAAAGACAAACATTTTAAGTTATAGTAGTAAACTCTTCACTTTATTCATTTTTAAATGCATTGTGTCTCTTTTTTTAGGGCATGGTCATTGCTGAGACAAAAAGGCAGATGCATGAGACACTGGAAATGAAAGAGGAAGAAATTGCACAGCTTCGCTCCAGACTCCAGCAGGCCACGGCTCAGAAAGAAGAATTACAAGAACAGAAGGAGAAGGCTGAGAAGTCAGGTAACTAAACTCTTACATTTGATGTGTTGAGAAAAACATTTGTCAGTAAGTTAAAAACTTTACTGTGACGTTGTTTTAATTTGTTTTGTTGTTTTGTAAAGCATTTGAAGAACTTGAACGGGCACTGGGTGTAGCTCAGAAGGCGGAGGAGGCTCGGAAGCAGCTGCAGGTTCAGCTGGAGGAGCAAATCAAGAACATTGAAATGGCCAGCGAACAGGAGAGGAAGCTTCTGCAGCAAGAACTCACTCGAGTCAAACAGGAAGTGGTCACTATCATGAAGGTCAGGGACTGTTGAAGGTCAAGACATTATGTCTTAATTATGAGGTTTTTGCAGACTCTGTTTTGATAAAAGACTTTTGAAAAATCAGCAGAATTACATAACACCTGTATTTTGAAATCTGAAATGTGGAATCAGATGTGGTTTGGGAAAATGTTTTAAACTATACAATTCAGATGCCACTGTGTTATTATTGCTTTTAGAAGTCATCAGAAGAAACATTGGCTTTATTGGAAAAAGACCATGCTGAAGCTCTGGCTGCTAAAGAAGCAGAGCTGATTGACAGAGTCAGAAAGGCTGTGGTAGGTGCCAAACTCTGACTTAAGTGATAAGTGAATCAAATGTTAAACAAATATAAGTGACCTTAAAATGTTTGATCTGGTGTAATTGTGCTATATAGGATCAATGCAAAGAGGAGTTTGCACAGTCAGCTAAAGAAAGAGAGCAGCAGTTTGCTCTGGCTTTGGAGGATGCAGAGTTACAGAAGACGGCTCTAAAGATGGAAGCTGATAACAAGGTCAAGGAAACACAACTGGAGCTGGAGACTGCGAGGACTGTGAGTTCATTGGTTCTTGTGCCGCAATTTGTGTTATTTACAATAACTAATCTAATTGTGTTTGTTTGCAGAGGATACTTGAACTGCAGAGCTCCTTAGAAAACATCTCAGACGATGGATCGAGTGTCGCTCAAGAACTGTCCCGACAGCTGGATGAGCTAAAAGTGAGGCATGGAGAGCAAATGTCTGCACTGGAAGGAAAGCATCAGGAGCTGCTTGAAGAGCACAAGAATACCCTAACTCAGCAGCAGGAGGCTGCCATTGAGGAGCTTAAGGACAAACACAATGCTGAAGTTGAGAAGCTCTTGAAAGACAAAGAGTTGCAGTTCCAAGTACATGTTGAAGACATGAACCAGAAAACAGTGGAGAAAATGGATGCCAAGCAGGCAGAACTAGAAGCTATTTCCTCTGAGCTCTCTGAGGTGTTGGTGAGTAAACGGCTTCTGGAGGAAAAGCTGGTGGCAGCTGGAGATGCTCAAAGTGTAGCTGAAAAAGACCAGGACGAGAGGTTTCAGGATCAAGTGTCAAAGCACCACAAGGAGCTTGAAAACATTAAACAAGAGCATGAAGAGTCACTCAGGTGTTTAGAGAAAAGTCTGAAGGATGAGCTTGAGGCTTTGAGGATTGTTCTACGGGAAAAGGAAAAGGACATTAATGAGCACATCTTTCAAGAAAAAACACTACAAGAGGAATCACATTCCAGATTGCAAGAGCTAAATGCCAAGGTTAAGGAGCTAGAGCAGCTCCAGCAGAGTGTGTCACAGTCGCAGTTGGAAAATGAGAGTCTGAAGGAGACTAGTGCAGAGTCTAGTAAATTATCAGGGGAACTGGATCAATGTAAGAAACAGTTGGAAGATTTGGCGCGTGAGTTGGACGTTGTACGTAGTGATTGTCAACAAAAAGAGAAGATGCTTCAAGAACTGGAAAATCAGTTACTGGAGACCAAAAAGGAGCTCTCGGAGAAGGAGAAGGAGAGGGAAGATGCACAAAATAATTCTCAACAAAAAGAGAAGTTGCTTGAGGAACTGGATCAACAGTTACAAGAAACAAAGAAGGAGCTCTCGGAAAAAGAAAAAGCCTTTACTGAAGACCTCAACACTAAAGAGGAAGAACAAAAACGCCTTAAGAAACAGATGGATGAAGAAAAGGCTGCGCATGACAAGAAGAAAAGAATTATAACAGATTTGGAAAATAAGCTTAAATCACAGGACACTAAAATGGAAAAGTTCAAGGTGAGGGCCAAAGAAATGCAGGAAAGTTTCAAGAAAAAACTCCAGCAGAATGAGGAGAACATGAAGAAGGAACTTGCAAAGAAGGATGCAGTGCTTCAACAAAAAGAGCAACACATTCAAGAGAAAATTCTTGAAATGGCCCAAAAAAGCTCCCAAGGCCTCAGCACTGCAATGTCAGAGCTGCAGGTCAACCATAAGGAAGAAGTGGAAAAGCTACTTGACGCACACAAGCACGAGTATGAGGAGATGGAACGTCAACTGACAGACAAGTTCAGACAGCAGGAGGAAGAAAATATAGAGAAACACTCTGTTATTTTACAAGAGAAGATGCAGGAGCTGGAGGATTTATCTCAGCAACTCAGCAGAAGCAGAGAGGAAAATGAACAAGTAACATGTGAAGTGAAAGACCTAAAGGAGGAACTGGCAATTCGTGAAACCACTGTGCAGAAGCTGCAGGAAGAGCTTAATGAAGCAGCAGTTAAGCTGGAAAGTTTATCTCAGGGTGAAGCGCTGCTGAAAGAGCAGATGGAGTCAGTGGAGAGGAACCTAAACCAGGTTATGAATGAGAGAAATTCCCTCCAAGACAAACTGAACTCGGTGGAAGAAGAGAGCAGAGAGAAGTTAAATGTTCTTTCTGTGAAGTTGGAGGAAACAGAGAAGTATTTGGGAGAACTGGAAGGTTCCAAATTAAAGGAAAGTGAGGAGTTGCAGAATAGATTTGAGGAAACTTCTGTTCTACTACAAGCCAAGGAAGCAGAGCTGCAGCAGAAATTAGTTATGATCAGCAGCCAAATGGAGAGTTACTGTAAAGAGGTTCAGTCTAAAGTTGAAAGTGGATCAAATGAACTCTATGACAGAGTTGAGCGTAGGCTCAGCGAGCTGGGGGATAGACTGCTATGTAGTCACAAAAAGGTATGGCATCTGAAAAACACTGTCCTCACTAAAGTAGATAGAGTTAACACTTTAGAGGAGACTCTCCACCATTATATGGAGGAGAATAAGAATCTATGCATTTCATTAGAACAGATGTCTGCTCAGGTAAAGGCTCATACAGAGCATATAAATGCCTTAACACTGGAGAAAGAGAATCTTTCTCTGTCCATTCATGAAAAAATCAAACAAATTGAGGAGCTGAGTGAAGCAAATATGGTCATATCAGATAATACGAGAACAAACGAGGCCCACATCAGTGGCTTGGAAAGCATCATCATTGACTTAAAGAGTCAGCTCGAAAGCCACATGAAGGAGAAGGAGGAAGCCATAGATCAGCTGAGACAGCAGTATGAGGAGGAGCGGCTGCAATCTGCTGCACGAATGAAGGAGACCATTGAGACGTTGGAGCAGGAGAGGAAGTCTGCTTTGGAGCAGGCAGACACACTCAGGAATAGTTTTTCTGAGTATGAAAACAAAGCTGAAGCAAAGTTCATTCAGAACGACAACACCATTGTGTCTCTGCAGACCAGGGTCGGTGAGCTGGAGCGTGAAATGTGCGAAAAGAATGAAGCTCTGCAGAGCATAACTGCCACCATTGACAATCAGTCCATCAGCAAGTCGGAGATGGACCAGTTGTTGAGTGAGAAAGAGCAGAGAGTCGGAGAACTCACCTCAGAGCTGGAGACTTTGACCAGCCGCCTCGGCGACATTCAGGAGCAGTTAGCCTTAAAAACAAAAGAGTGTGAGCAGCTCACGGCTGACCTCACACAGCAGCACATCATCAGGGAGAGAGAGCTGGTGGAGCAGCTGCAGCAAGTTCAGATGCAGTGCACTCAGAATGGTAACATAGAGCAGGAGATGGCAGAAAAATTACATGCACTAGAAGAAGACAACCAGAAATGTAAAGTGGAGCTGGAAAGTCAGAGGGAAGAGTTTGAAAGGATAAAAGAGGAGATGATTAAGAGCAAAGAGGACACTCTGAAGGCTTCTGAGGAGAAGTTGCTCGCAGAGAGTGCCCGAAAAGTCGCAGAGCTCAAGAAGAAAGCCGAGCAGAAAATCGGTCAGATTAAGAAACAGCTGACTTCACAGCTTGAGGAGAAAGAGCAGTCAATCAAGGCCCTCAGAATGACCTTGGAGGAAATCAAGAGCAGCGAGACATCTGGCAGACAGCAAATAGAGTCGTTAGAGGAGAGAACAAGTAAACTGGAAGACCTCATCAAACTTAAGGAGGAGCAGGAGTTGCATCTTCAAGAAATCCTGAGTAATGAGAAACTGGAAAATGAAAAGTCCTTAGAAGAAATGAAAAGTGTGTACGAGGAGAAGCTGACTTCATTTCAGATTGAGGCAGTGCAGCCAGAGCAGCTCGGCGTAACTGATTTAACATTGCAGGAAATTGAAGCGAAGCTAAGAGAAGCAGAAGAGCAAAATAAAAGTCTCCTTTTAGAAATAAAACATTTAAAAGATGAAATGCAGGCCAAAGATGAGCAGCTTAATAAGCATGTGGCCTCTATTCAACAACTACAAGTTGAGGCTTCAGCCAAGGTTGAATGTAGCAGCGTGCAGCAAACAAAGAGTGTGATGAGAAATGATATGGGAAACCACTCTCCTTCAGAGGAGGTGGATGGAAATCCTTTAGAGTCTCTCACATACAAACTGAGTCAGGTGACAAATGAGAAGGATAAAATCCACAAAGACTTCAACAGGTTGCAGAAAGACATCAGATTACTGAGGAAGGAGCACGAACAGGAAGTAGAATATATGAAGAAGGAGTTGTTGGAGGAGAGCGAAAAAAGGCTGAAGTAAGTTCATATAATTAATCATTAGCACATCTAATAAAACTGCATATGGTAAACATGTTTGGTAAATATGTGTAAAAACAGTATAAGCAAGGAATTTCCTCTGCCTTTTTTTGTGACAGAATTGAGCTAGAAGATGTGGAGCTCAAGCACAATTCTACTATTAAGCAATTAATGAGGGAGTTCAACACACAGATGGCCTTAAAAGAGTCAGAGCTGGATACGGCAGTGAAGGAAGCCATAGGTGAGGAGAAAAAGGAGATTTCAAACTGCCTGGTAACATAACAATTGTACTAATAATTAACAAGTAATCAAGGATTCCAAGGTGCAACATTTTACTCTGTTTGAACTTATATTGAGTAGGAAAGGAATGCTAGTTAATGCTTAAGAAATCAAGCCTGCCTGTTTTTATTCTCTCCAATTAGCAAAGGCTCAAAGTGTGGAGGCCGAGCTCATCACTTGCCATCGCGAAGAAGCTAGTCAGCTCAAGAAAGAGATCACACAGAAGGAGGACGATTTGCACAGAACAGTACAAAAATATGAAGAGATCATACAGGTATTTGAGGAAAGAAAAAGGTGTTTTCTTATCCTAAAGTTTTACCATAGATGAAGCATTTTTTATTTCATTCGTTTCCAAGAGTCGAGAAGAGGAAATGGGAGACAAAGTGTGGCAGGTTCAGAAAGAACTGGAGGAACTGCAGGCCAAGAACCAGGGATCCTCAGAGGTACAAACTGGTCTGAGTAACCTGACCAAATACATCTGTTACAACTGATATAACTGATTTGAGACATTGTATCTTGTAGATGGATTTTAAATTAATATCTTTACTTATCAATATCTATGAAATACTGTATTTATGAGCCTGAGAGATTATTTTAAATATATGGTCAGTTTCTGATAAAGCAATATTCCACATCAGGAAAAAATATCTGCAAAATCACTTTTTTCAGATTCCTTCAGGAAAACTTGAAGTCTGATGGAATCGGGAGCAATAGTTGTTATAGCCATTGCATCCTAATACATATGCGTTTTAGTTCGACTCACTTCACTTATTTAAAGTTCATGTGAAGGATAATGGACCGAGCAGTTACTGGCTGCATTGTTGGCTTCTTCTGTCTTATTTCATATCAGAAAGATTTGATCTTAATGTGTGGGACTACTTGGGACTTGCTCTCATACTGTACTTAGCTGTGTTCAGTGTCTCGCAGCAGTCGTATGGCTGCTTTCCAAAGCACGCCGGATGCTGTGAAGCTCATTTGATTCACTTAGGAATGTCCTCCCTAAAAAAACATGGATTGGAGACGGCAGCCAACCTCAATCCCTGTTCTCAATTATCATCATGTGAGGTGATTCTTGAGCTTTGGATTCATACTGCTCTAATACTCACAGTCAAGATGTACTCTCTGGCTCCAGGCCAGAATGGACTAAATGCAGCTCTGAAAACCGCTCTACCCAGGTGTGGAGGTGCAATGAGTTCCCTGCAGGGATATTTTCGACTTATGCACACAAATAAAGAATTACGTTGCTTTCTATTGTACATTTTTCCCCGATGAGGTAATAATTTTTATGGTTGAGTTGTATAGACGTATGCACCAGGAGACCTTTTTTTCCTATGGGCCAAGTAATCCATTCTTGACTTTTCACAAGTTCAGTTCTGTTATCGTAGGTAACAGTCCTCCAGTTGAACTGTGTCTTATTTTTTAAACAAGGCTGGTGAAATTCTACACCTTTATTTTTTTCCATGAAAATATCCCTGAGTGAAAATCATAACTAAAAGTGAAATAAGCTCTTTAATCTAATCTCTGTAACTTTTGCTCCTTTGAAGTGCGTGGGTATGTGGTTTATTTATCACCTTCTGATGGAGATTGAATTGTTTTGTTTTTTTTTAGGATAGTCTTTCAGTGGTGAATTATTGTTGGACTGAAAGACACCGACCCACTAATACATGGTCTAATTCAATCCAAACTCTCTGTGATATGTGTAGTGTTGAGGGAAGAATAGACTCTGCCAGGCTTGTTACACACAACCTTTATTTTCAATGAGTTTAAAGTTAGTTTTTCATCTTTTAATGGTATAATCTGACTGGGAAAAAATACACACAACACAGTCTTAAGCTTTGGCCTGTGATGACCTGTGACACTTAACATTAAATTATGTTCTAATTGGTATAAATCTAATAAATTCTCTCTTTTTTCTGGGACAGCTGAGTGTGGAAGACCTGCAGGTACGTTTGTTTATTCATATTTATTGTTGTTTAATTATTGTAGTATTAATCCAATGTTACAACTTATTAACTTTAACTGTGGTTAAAAGTTGGCATTCACAAATGATAACTAACCAAATAATTTTTTTTACTACAAACTTTTTACAGACTAAAATAATCACATCATTTGGTCAGATGAGACAAATCTACAAAGTCTTGATCCAATGGGTTGTTGCTTTTGTATTGCGTTCAGAAGGAGAGGTGTAGAACCCAAAGGATAAAGTCCTGACAAATATACACACATGGGAATATATTTTTGTAGAGAGGCTTCGGGGTAGGATATTAAGACAAAACTTTAAGCATTCAGCAGCAGAACTGAGTCTTTGTCTTTGTTTTATTCCCCACAAGACACCGATACGTGGCATACTTGGAAATAACCAACTCTAATGTTGGTAAACTGTCCTAATTGTTAAAAAAAATGTATTTAGAAATGCTGTGATAAATTGGTTGTGTTCTATAGGGAAATGTTTTTCTTCAGTTTTACCTGATCTAGACCTTGTTCGTGTGAATCATCTTCCTCAGGCTCAGCTTGCTAAGAAGACCACCTTACTGAGCGAGGCTCGACTAAAGGAGCAAGGATTTGTTGAGAAAGTGAGTGTCTAGCTCTGTGTGCTCTCTCCGCGGGGAACAGTGTGTGTAGAAACCCTGTACACTGTATTCTCAGAATTCTGTGGCCTCCAGCAGTAGCAGCTACTGCTCTCCTGCTGCATCAGCCTAATTACAAAGCACATCTGTTTACATTTGGTTAATCCCCATAAACAATCAGGGCAACGCCTCCCACAGTTTTTTCTCACACACATCGAAACCCTCAAAAAGTTACCCCAAAGTATGGCTGACAAATTACTTTTTTATGACATGCAGCACAAACCAATGCACAGAATTAACCCAGTGGGTTAGTCTTTTTTTTTTTATTCTTAATCACAAAGTGTGTGTATGTGTGTGTGTATATTCTTTCACTCTAGATTCACTCGCTCGAGGACAAGATTAAGTGTTTCCACCGAAAAACAGTTGTAACTCATCTGGGGAGCACAATCAAAGGTACAGTTGGATCACTGAGTTTCCTCAATGTCCTGTGAAGGTTATGGTTGTTTTCCCAACAGCCTGAGATCTCGCCATAAATGCATCACATTTAGGATGAAAGATTATAAAGACATAAAAACATGTAAATCCAAAGTTGGGTGTGGTGACATGACAGTGTGTTGAGTTAAACCTCTGAGGAAACTTATGACCTACAAAGTCACATTGAAGTTATTATTTGTACCACAATTCAGTGTTTGCTGTGTAAGAATGTATTTTGTGTTTTAATATTCTGCATAGGACATTAGGGCACTTTATATCTGCTGGTGTGACTATAAAAATAGAGATATATTGCTCACTTATACAGCAATGACATCTGTCATGCTTTTATTTGGTTTTCAAGAATGAAAGTTGATATTTTGTGTTGTGTTAAAAATAACATCAGACTCTTCACCGTGTGTCATCACCACATTGACATTAATGTGGCCGTAACCTCAGTGCATCACCTCCAGACCTTCCCTGCTGGTAAACATAAAGAGAGGCTCATGTCAGACAGAGGGGTGTGCGGGGGTGGGGTCCTTGCTCCATTTAATGAGTTTTGCAGACATGGTTGTCAGGTTTCCCACACAAAAACTCACAGCACACAGAGCAAATCATTCACTTCCAGTTTATGAACTTCATTCCACCGAATGCCTTTTATACCCCCGTGTTTGTTAGTGTCCTCTTCAGACTTCTCCCAAACACTACTGTGGTTCTAGGTAAAAAGTCTGATTGACTCCGACTGTCACTCACCTTGTGTAACTGAGGGATACAAGAGAAAAAGACTGGAACATTATTGATTGGTTGAGCATTACTTCACTTGTCCTCTTTTCTTATAGTCTATAGCCTCAGGTCTGTGGAAGGTGTTATTACAGTAAAGCAGAAACTATTTGCGTGTTTTACATTGATTTATTTACTGAGGTTATACAGCAACACATGTTCTCATTCCATTTTTACAGGATATTAATGATACATCCTCAGGGCTGAACATTAAAATATTTGTCCTCCTGTAGTGTTAACATCTTCATGCTGAGCATCAACAATGTTTCCTGTGCTTGTAATTTGGTTTTAATTTGAACTCATACTATACCTGTGGAGGAAGGAGACTTGTGTTTGGTTGTTAACACAAACATTTTGTCCATAATGGGTTTTTTTTTTCTTTTAATTTATAACAGAAGATTTATAAAAGAAGTCTTTTATTTGCAACTCATATGAACGTAGAGTCCACACAGTGTCATGACATAAAACAGTTTTAATAAAAATATTTTTACTGTCACAGCTGTTAATGACAGGCTATGTATCTATTGCATGATAATAGTAAATTAACAGAGTTATAAACAGAGTTTTTGTATATTTTTACAGACCCTGTTTTCAGCGATGCCCTCACAGAACCCACAGAGATGGAATATCTGAGGAAAGTATTGTTCGAGTACATGATGGGACGAGAAACAAAAGTATGCTTTTTTTTAATTATTTGTCCAGTTTTCTTTCTTTCTCTTTAACAGTAACCATGCAATAAACAGAGAAGACAGAAGGGAGTGAAAAGTTTCAAACATCACTTTTAATAATAATAATAATAATACATTTTATTTATAAGCGCCTTTCAAGTCACCCAAGGACACTGTACATAAACAAAACAAACAACACATACGCCCGGAGAGCAGCGGCAAGATACATGCCAGCGTCCACTCTCAGTGGCCAAAGTGACTTTTGTATTTCCTCACAGCTAATCGCGGTTCACCCGACTCAATTTTTAGTGGGGAGCGTGACACAGTTTAGGAAGTTGTAAAACAGTCATGTGTCCAGTCTGCTCACTTCAGATTAACACTGATCTCCATAATTACCAGTGTTAGTGACCTGCTCCTAAAGTCAGCATGATTTTTCCAGCTCCTGGTCAAACACTTAGTCTTTATGGCACCAGCACAGACCTCCACGATGCAGAGGATGTCCCTCACTCTGCCTGCGAGCACATACATCTTGGATGACGTAGAACTGCCACTTAAAAACATGCTGGCCTTGTTTGGTGTTGGTGGAGCGCTTGACTTTCCTTCTCAGCAGCACTGTTTCTGATTATCCCTCGAGTTTATTGGGAAATGTAAGCTCCCTGGCAAACAGACCTGCAACTGATTAAGCAGATGATCATTTTTGTCCCCTTTTTGTCAAAGAATAAAGAAGTTGTCTATCTGTGGTTTATCAAAGGTAGATTAAAATGACAAATTAATATTTAGAAAAGATAATGATTTCTGTTACTATTTATAAATATGACAATCTTACTCTGATGCGGTTGTTGCTATAAAACATTGGGGGCATTTTTGGAATTGGCAATGGCCCTCTGCCCTCTTAGGGTGACCCACTCCCACATTTGGAACCACTGCTCTCTAGTGATGCTCTGCTGGCCAGTGTATTACTGTATTTCATAATATGCTGCTTTTCAGTGGATCAGTAAGCATTCAAGAATGTTTTAACAAAACTTAGGGTTAGTAAAGGGTTACATTTGAACCATAACCAGGAAGTCAATAATGAATCCTTTGATGCACATGTAAAACTGTCTAAATTGAACCTGACAAAAGGTACATGAACTATTTAATCATCACTTCATTTGTTCATTTACTGCTTCAGACAATGGCCAAAGTAATTACCTCCATGCTCAAGTTTCCACCAGAACAAGCTCAAAAGGTTTTGGACAAGGAAGATTCCAAACCTGTTGTAAGTGTGTGTTCATCTACAAAATAACCATCATAATTTCAGACTATCTTTGATTTGAATGATAACTAAATCTCATTGTTGACAATGACGTTTCTCCACAGCCTTGGTTACGATGAGTATCCTAGAACTTCTGATACAAATGGAGTAAATTCTGCTGCTGCTGCTGAAGGGAATGACTGTATTGGATCAGATCCTCCTCTCTGTTTGGTCATTTTATTTGTGAGTATGTGTGTATGTGTGTGTGTGAATAGGAGTGTATGACTATATGTAAAGGTGTAAGGAAAATATATGAGAATATACCAGAAACACAAATCTTTCATGATTAAGATTAAGTTTGTTAATTTATGTTTTTAGACTAAGTTAAATGACTTTGGTTATTGTTTGTTTTAGAACCCTTACTTCCGGTGTCCACCTGTTCACATACATAGGCTTGTGCAATAAATCATGTTATTATCATGTAATGATGCTGACGTTCGGCAGATTTATAGGTTTCTTTGTTGTCTGAATTACTTCCTTTGAAAATCTGTTAATGACCCTTTAACTGTGCACCCATGCTTCACGTCAAGACTCTGGACTCTTGTTTGTTCAACGCAGCTTTTTCTACGCTTTCTATTTTGTCACTGACACGGACTCAGAAACTGCCCGGACGACTAAAACTGTAAATTATCATGATGTTGAACACTGTATTATATGACACTATCAGACTTGCTATACATTTTCAGACTAATGGATTAAATCTTATTTACAAAACACACGTTGTCTGTCCTTTTTTTTTTTTTTTTACATTACTGGAACATACCATTTAAACCATTGAAAATAGTAATTGTTACTCAGCATAGGCTTGAACTGAGGACACAGATAGAAAACAATTGTTAAGAAATGTATAAAGTAAAAATAAGAAAAAAACAACTGTTAATTGATTAGATTATTGATAGATTGTTAACCTGACCTTAGACTGGATCAGTCACATCTAGTCACCTTTATTCTAATTTAGGTTCAGATATGTGCTCACACTGTAAACTACAAACACACCCAGTCTTTGTGATCATAAAATCATGACAACACTTGCAGGACTTTACCAACTTTCTTCCGAATGTTACCGTTAGGGGGCAGCAAAGCCCCCTGCTTTTGGACAGTTGGACCCCAAAAGCACAGAGCTGAAATGTGATGCTCTGTGCTTTTAAACCATCCCCGTCTCTTCATGACCGCGTTCAGAGCCAGAGCCAATGCCGAAGCTTGAAAACTAATAATCCTGTTTTACCTTTCACTTTAAAACCTTTGTTGCGCCTACAAACGCTGTACTGAAAGACCCATCGTTGTGCTTTTATTTTGGAATAATATGTATTTTTTTCCCCTTTGCTGCATTCGGTTGACTTGATTCTTCTGGCAGCATTTATCTCCACGACAGGGAGCCTGGAGCTGAAACTTTCTGAGATTGACACAGAATGGAGAGAAGCTGACGCACCGTTATTTATCGGACCGTTAACTCCCCACGCCGCTCCTCATGCCATCGCAGCCTACACCTTGGCCCAGACCAGGAGACAAACAGCTGAAAAATACGTCTTTAACTCTTTGACAACTAAAGTGCTGACAGAGCCTCCCCACTGGCTTCTTCTTTCTTTACTCTTTTTTGGACACTTGGACGGCGTTTTTACGCGCGATGCGCAAAGGAATGGCTCCTCTCCGGCGGCAAAGGACAGGAGTACAACACGTTTTCTATGTTTGTCTCTCCATTTCAGTTGCCTTTTCTTACAACATAGACCTAGAACATCCTTTGGTGTTCCGTGGACCAAACTCTAGTTTCTTTGGCTACTCGGTGCTAGAGCATTATCATGACAACACACGCTGGTGAGTGCAATGTTGCAATTTTCCTGGAAACGATCTGTCAGTGGTGTTAATGAATTAGTGACTTTGTGACACACATGTTAATATGTCCAAAGCCAATGATGCGTCCACATCTATTTATTTGAAGAATAACGACTTAATTTGTTTCTTTATTTCTTACGGGTCGTTGATTTAAAATTCGAATTTCAAATTTGGAGTGATGGAGTTTGTTAGTAGGTGATACCCTCCCTATTCCCCCATCCTCTTCCTTCCCTCGTGTCTGCAGGGTGATAGTAGGAGCTCCCAGGGCGAACTCTACCTACAGTAGCTCTGTGCACTCTCCTGGAACTGTGTACAAGTGTCGAGTTCACAACAACCCAGAGCGCCGCTGCACAGAGATGGACCTGGGAAGAGGTCAGTGACCACAGAGCCACAGCATCACCACAGCAGCCACACTGGCTTTCAGAGGCTCACAGAAGTTCAGGGAGCAACTCTTACCTAGAAAACTTCCTCCTTTCTGTTTCTGCAGCTCCTCATGTCCACTCTCTCCCAGTGCAAACACACTCCCCCAAGCATCTGTTTTGTTTTATCAGAATAATGCAGCCTTATGCCTCTCTTTAACAGTGCCACAGTTGTTCTTTTACTTGTACTGTCGTGTAACAGGGACATGGAAAGTACAAGCGGGTCCTCTGTGCTGAGGTGCATAAATATTTTTTTCCCCCGATAAATACAATTCATGATTCTTCTAATATTTTCCAAACACATGAGCCAAAAAAGTTGTTCAGATGCCCCCCCCCCCCACTCATAAAACTTCAGTTCTGTTTTTGAGGTCAGAAAGCCGGGCTGCACGCATGGATTTAATATTAACTCCATGCTCTGTCAATGTATGACCAGAAAAACAGCAGTGATCAGACAGTAAGGGCGCATTGACTCAGGGGCCAAAAGAGCTGAAGCCTGATTGGTTGACAAAGACAAAAACAGACCAAAGGTTTATTGTAGTATCGTTGATGTTTTTGTCGTTGTCTTTGTGAAATGTTTTTGTTAATTTATTCTGAATTAATCTGCTTTGTTGTAGGAAAATTGATTGACTTGTTCATGTTAGTATTGGAGAATTATAGCAGCTGTATTTCCCTGTAACTGACTGGTCTTGAGGAATTATCTCACTCAAGTTAGCTCTTCATTCAACTGTGACACAGGATGTAGCGCTCTGCATCCTGTAGTACTGTTCAGTTTGAAAAAATGGAAGACATTGATGTAGCAAATTGTTTCTTTATGTTATTGTGGTTTATCAGTTGTGTTAAAAATAACACAACTGATAAAGCACTGTTATTGTTCTTTCTTTGCCAAGTAAGCACTAAAACTGTAATATTCCAGTGAGTGTAAGTGAATACTGTGGTCCTCTGGAGGAGAGTGTTGCCCATCCCTGTGGTTTAACTTATAATTTTAGTTGATACACTTAATAAAAACCAGAAGTCAACAAGTTTAAGAACAAGTCTCGTTGTCAGGCCAAGACATCCTCTCTACTGGTGACTCATCTGTAAACTGATCACGTTGTCTTTTAGGAAACAGGCCGAGAGAATCATGTGGGAAGACGTGCCAGGGAGACAGGAACGATGAATGGATGGGAGTCAGCCTGGCCCGACAAGACAAAGCCAACGGCAATATACTGGTGAGTCCGAGTCAGGAGCCGAACTCTGCTGTCACTTCAGCAGTCTGTTTAATGCAAACCGTGTAGTCTCTTAAACCAGGCCCATTATACCAACATCACCGTTACAAATGTTTTACCATGAACCACGCTGCTAAACCACAGCTGCTCTCAACATTACGAGCCCTCTTCAGTAAACAGGCCACGGCTTCCACTCTGTGCCACATGCTTATGAGCTCTGAATGGCAAAGGTTGAATTTCATTCAGGATTTTTTTTTTCTTGCTTTACGTTTTTCTGAGCTGGAGTCACAACAGTAGGCAGAAACATGTGGAAACCACTGTGTGGTTACATAACACTGTGAAGCGTTTACCTTGTGTTTGGAGCTGGAGGAGTGAGTGGAACAGGGTTTGTCAAAGAACAGAGAAGAGAAGATTTGGTGAAGAAGACTCACTAGTCCTGTTAATCCCAGATGTGCTTTGTTCCCTGTTTGCACACAGATGAAAGGGCGGTCGCTGGCAGTATGTTTAGGTTTTAGGCCCTGTCGGTGGTCCAGACTGAGGGCATCATTTTTTAAATAGTAGTGACAGAACTGAAAGAAGTTCTGGTCACTTTGATGGGAAGTTTTTAGTACTGAGCTGCTCTTATAGGAGAATCCCAAGTGTTTTTAACAAAGAGACGTTTTAAAGTGATTCCACAGAAATGGCATAAATGCTGTGATGTAGACATTCAGGCCTATGTTGGCATTGTTTCTCTATTAGTATTTGTCTTTTGGACCCAGCTAAAAATGTCATTACCTGTACAATGCAACTTGCACTTATATCTACCAAGCCTTCATTTTACTTACAGAGCATAAAATGATTTGGATAAATTCATTTAAAGTCCAGCTGACCTGAGATGACTCCTTTTTTTAAACCAAAAACGCCTACAGCAACTTTTTGCCCCTTTCAAATGCAGATAAAGACTTTTTGGTCCCAGTTAGTCTTTGCTCTGAACCCTGCATATTGTCCAACTTGATAGCTCTGCATGACTTCAAGAGGTCAAGAGGTACACAGCTGCCTTTACAACCAGGGAGTGAACTTTCCTGTGATGTTTATTCAGCTGAACATGCACACTGTCTTTGTGACCAACTGACACATGTTGCATTGTCCTTGAAATTTCATTTTGAGCATTCTGAGAGGTAGAGAACAGTATGGTTTTTAGTTCAGCTTTATAACAGTCTGGCTGAACTCACAAACAAAGGGATGATTTAATCTACATTGGCCCAAATTCCCTAAAGTTCTTCCAACTGACAATACCAGTTGGAAGAACCACGGAAAACTGTGTCTTGTAAAAAAAAAAGTGTGATTCCTATTTTAAACATCATTGCTAAGTGTGCATGTGTAAAAGTACTTGTTGTTGATTGATCTTCAAAATCAGGAATTTCTCACTCTGTTTGTTCTCTTATTACTTTCAGCATGTTTGTCCTTGGTCCATCTCTTACCTAAGTGGAATGCACTGGCTTGATTTTCCAACCATAACCCTTGGCTATACTTTTGAGTCTGTCTGTCAAAGTTTGAAAACTTCTTGGAGATGTCTGTCCACAAGCTTTTAGCTCCACAGACTCTAAGCCTGCCATAAAAAAGAGATGGCAAATCAGAGGTAGTCTCTGCACTGAGCTGCATGATGCAGTATCTTATTCTTGTGTTTCAATGCTATTGATTGGACTCTTGTTACTGTGCAACAAGAAGAAACACGGCTGCACAACAGATGTTCACAGTGATGATTTCATCTGCACTTTCTGCGAAGGCCGTGGATGTGACCATGAGCTCTTGAACACGACTACTCTGTCCAACTGTGAACGCCTTCTTAGCCCAGACAGAGCTTGTCAATGGCTGCACTGCTGCTCTCCCTGTGTTTTTGTCAGTTGATTAATCTTTTTTGAAACGCTCTCCACTCGTGAGTTCACAGTGGTGTTAGTTTGCTACTGCTGTCGTCCAAGCTGCTCTATGTTTCTCAACAGAGCATCCTCTTTCCCAGACAGTCATTTTACGCTGTGTGTGAGCCCACAGTCCACCAAACTCTTACAATCATTTAGTTTGGCTGCGTGTGTGTGTGTGTGTCTGTGAGCGAGTGAGTGTGTGATGTATGGAAACCAGTGCTTAGGGTTTGTGAGGTGAATGTGTCTGCACAGAGGCGTCCAGAAGTGTCCCCAGAGCCACAAGATCTCCACCAGCAGCACCACCACCATGCTCTCAGTGGACTAAATCATTACCACATTCACACATACAGTACACTGTCTATGCCCTGCACTACCACAGGCTTTGAACTCTACCCTATATTTGCTGGATTGCTGAGAAATACAGTATTTGGAAACACGTGGCTGAAAAATATATTATCAAGACTTATTCCAGCAATAAGAAATACAAACCCTGTTTAAGTTTGTTCACTTCACGTCATGTTTTTTCACACAATTTGACCCTTTGACCCTCCAGCTGAAGTGAAAGTGTCCCAAACACTAATGACAATCAGAAGATTATTTACTCATGGAACATAATTTGCAGTTTGGGAAAAACAGATCATAAAGTGCAGCTCAGATATTCACACCACAGACCATGGCTCTTATGGTCAGGGTTATGAACGGGCTTTAATTCCCCTTCTTAGTGACGATGGTTTGACAGCCACAGAGACGCCCTGACTCCAGCCCTGTGAGTAAGGGGCTTAAACGGTCGGTGGTGGAGGGACGTCTGCCTGCTGTCTGAGATGTTGGTGTTTACAGAACTGTCACGTGTCTGGATTTATGTTTGGTTCTTAATGATTTCTTGCAGGCTTGCGCTCACCGCTGGAAAAACGTGTACTACGACTCGGAGCACATCCTTCCGCATGGATACTGCTCCATCATACCTCCAACACTTCAGGGCAGGGCCAAACCACTCATCCCATGTTATGAAGGTACGTCAGCCGGTGATCAGTTTTTCTAGTAACACAAAAATCATCTTTGATATCATTTTTAGGAAGTTTACCAATCTCTGTGGAAAAGGATGTTTTTATTCCTTGTTAACCTTTTGGCAGAGAAAAACAATATGACACCATGCTTCTTCAGTACACAGTTTAAAAACTGTTTGTATTTGAAAAATAATAACGCTTTAAACTGACCGGTGCAATTTTCCATCTCATATATTTTGATATGACTCAGGGCTATTTATTGAAGACTATTTTGCTCCTAAATTGCTCACTCAGGTCAGGATTTCTCTTCCTTCCAAACTCTGCTCCCAACACTCATGCATGCATGGAAGGGTATTTACAGTACATTGTGTCCGGATCCAAACTCAATATTTTCGTAACCTGAGAACACTGTCACCCACCCCCCTCCAAGTGAGAGGTCTCCTTAGTCTGTTTTCTGCCCCCAGAATAATCTTGGAAGGCAATGGGACTTTGACTAGCTCCATATGGAATGCAGGAAAATCTCCAGTAAACGCTGGCCCAGGCACACAGCTAAATAATTTGTGGTTTGCTTTTTCTTTCAGACTATAAGCAAAAGTATGGAGAAGAGCACGGATCGTGCCAAGCCGGGATAGCGGGAGTTTTCACAGAGGTCAGTAACACTCTGTGTGCTCATCTTCCTAATCCATGTTAATCTCTTCTTTGTCTGAAACTGATTGATGATGTTTCATTACCACTGACACCGTCATGTGTTTTATGTTTCCCCCTCTGCGGTGCCTGGAGGACGCTCACGGATGTTGTGTTAATTTATCTAAAGCTAAGGTGGATTTCTTCACTCATACAGTAACTATATCTCAGTTTATTCCACCCAGATCACGGAGTCACAGTCACAGTGACCTCGTCTGACCTCTGCTGTGGTTAAGATAAGGTTTCTGGTTCTTTATTAGCAGTGTTTTTTAAAAGGATTTGGCTAATTACAAAACTTTACACTACACAAATAAAGGTTTTGTAGTTCATTTGTTAATGTACTCAAACTAATGCAGATTTTGACAAATTTGTTCCACTATAAGTCAGATTATGAGTTTTGGAAACAAAATGTTAATATATAAATATACAGAAAGGCTTAAGGTAAACCACAGAATAACTAAAGGTTGCACTAAAAATAGGAAAATTGGTCATAAGTAGAGCAACAGCGAGTCAATTAAGTATGTTAATATATATAATTTAATTACAATCAGTTTTAACTGTTTAAATAAAACATAAAAAACAATCAAATTTAGACAAAGTTATTCTGAATGTCAACCCAGTTTGTGCTCTGTGGTGGGTGAGAATCCCAGACACAGAGCAGTGGTGAGAGTGAGGTCAAACACATTTAACTCTTAGACACTTTATTTGTAAAACCTGCTATAGTTTGACATAAAAACCACTTGCTTATAGGTAGTTTGAGAAATATAAATATAATCACTTTGGACAGTTTGTTTTCCTAACATCAGGAACATAACTCTGCTGTGCTGTTTCCCATGAGCAGCAGGTTCTGTAAAAGCCTAGGTTCAGTGTCAGATTACAGCCGTGCTTACCTTGGTACACACACTAACGTACAGTGGAGCGTTAGGAGTTCAGAAATGTGTCCACAGAGCAGAGCTTTGAGCTTTAGGGTAAAACAATACTAAATGGTGAGGAACATCAAGAAAAATACCAATGTATTTAGTCTTCATTTACTCTGAAGTTCACATCCATATCAACATCGGCAGCTTTGGACAATGGAGCAGACGAGACAAAAAACTCGTAGCATGTAGTTTCATTTTTGCCCCATGCCAATGTGTCTGTAGGCAAAAGTTAATGATCCAATGGCAGCTGTTGGAGAAGGCCGCACTCTGAGCTCTTATAGGCCTGGACATATTTATATAATTAGTGTGGTACTGACTGAACGATGTAGCAGCCACAAATCATACTTTTACCAGATATAACGATGAACATGTTTATGGTGGACATGTTCAACACGTGGTCTTCCTCTGTGTGTAAACTGAGCCTCGTAAGGGTCAGCGAGTGATGTCACGGTGTACAGATTAGGGTTAGATTGTACTACATAATCTCCTATTTAAAGTCTGTGCGGTTGTGCGGGTTCATCAGTCTTAGATGGATCAGCTGGACATGAGGAAGCTGTAAAAACTCACAGGAGAGGACATATGGATTCAACAAAGCAGGGAGTGTTTTAAACCTAACCCCACGGTTTTATTCACAGGCTGGAAACGTCACTGTTGGTCTGTGAAAGTGTTTGAGTCACTCTCCAACCCCCTCCTTTTTTCAAGAATGTCGGGAATTTAAATAAAAGGTGTCCAACTGTTAGGCCTTATCCTTGGCTGAACCAGAGTCCGTGGGCCTGGTGGTACCCAGATGTTTGACATCTCAGTGGGAAGTCAGGGAGGTGTCTCCTGCTGAGCGGGGTCGTCAGCACGTCCTTCCCTGTGTCTGTGAAGAACATCAGTTGTCGGTGGTGACGGTCTCTGTGACTGCAGAAGAACAAGAACTATTATTGGCAGCAGTTGAAACAGAGCGTCTTAATATTATTGGCAGCAGTTGAAACAGAGCGTGAGAGTGTCCTGCATTAATAGCTGCATTTTAGCGAACAAATTTTATAGCTGTCATTTTCCCATCTTTGAGTACCTTATCACATCAAAGCAGCAGCTGGTGCTCAGTTTATAAAGAATATGTGTGGTTAGAGCAGATAACACTGAACAGTGTGTATCCACTAGTTACCTGCTTACCAGTTTGGCAGCAGATGACAAGAGTTAAGGTTAGATATGTCTTAAAATGAGTTATACAAAAATGTGTTTGCTCTACACAAACATAACCCTCATTTCCCTGCAGCGTCTCTACAGCCTCATTTAATTTATCACATTTAAATTTAATAAACTTGATGGAAGATGATTAAAGAGTGGAATTGCCCTTAAATAGTGTCTGATGCGAAGGTTTTATTTAGAAACGTTTTGCACATAACGATCATCTCCCATCTGCTTGTTGATAAAACCCAAAAGTGAAGTGCTACTATGTGCTTTCAAACGGCCAAGTTTGAAAGCACTTTTATACTCCCATAGCCTGAGAAGATTTGTTTTAATAAATGTGCCACTCCCTGGGCTATTTTCAACTGATAATCCTTTCTCCAAAGAGGCATCCTGATGGGAAAATACAGAACAGTCACAGTACTGCCTGTAATACTTCCTGTGATGCATACAAATAAAAACTACTGTTCAATATAAGTATGTGGGTATTTTATCACACTACTCCCAGTACACAAAAATGTATAATGTATGTAAACATACTGTATATGTAAGCATATATATGTACGTATCTAAGTATATCTTTCAAAATTGTGGATCACTGGTATATAAGGTCTTAAGGTCTAATCGTATTAAATCTCATCTAATTCTTGTGCGCACATAATTTAAAGTGAGGTTTTTCATTTCCAGGAGCTTGTGGTCATGGGGGCACCAGGCTCATACTACTGGACTGGGACAATCAAGGTGTACAACCTGACCTCAGACTCTTTCTATGGCCCCAACAAAGACGACATTGATTCCCACAGATACAGCTACCTTGGTGAGGGTCCCCGCTGACAGTGCGACTATAATAAAAGTGACTCCAGAGAAGCTGTAACCCATTATTGTGTGTGTTTCCTCAGGCTACGCTGTGACAGCGGGACACTTCTCCTCTCCTAATGTAATAGACATAGCTGCAGGGGCCCCTCAGCACAGTGGCAGTGGAAAAGTAAGGGCCTCTCATCTGATGCCTTTTTGTGCAGCTGGTGACCTAAAGGCCTCCTTCTTTTTCTGCTTACAGTAATTTTCTTCATTCTCCATTACAGGTTTACATTTTCAAAATCGACGGAGTGTCTTTGGTGAAGAGTTTTCAAGCCTCTGGGAAAATGGTATGAGCGTGGATGTGGCCCTGTACTGTTCTGTTTCTAACAAATGTGTGGCTTTTTGTGCATTGGTGACATCAGGAACATTACAGAAACATTTATAAAACAAATCTGCCTGAGAGGAGAGGAGAAATCATATTTACTCTTGTAAATATGTTGCAGACACAGGATTCTATATGTGTTTTCAGAGCTGCAGATTCTGTGTCTTACTTTAACTCTGTCATAAATACTGTATATGAAAGAGGACAATAGATCCAGTCATCACTTTTGTCAAATGTATAAACCTGAAGGACACATGTCTCTGATCTGACCCCTGCTCTGTGGCTCCACTTGGTTCCAGATGGGCTCTTACTTTGGCTCCTCATTGTGTGCAGTTGATCTGAACAAGGACGGTCTGTCGGACCTGCTGGTGGGAGCGCCCATGCACAGCCAGCTGCGGGACGAGGGCCAGGTGTCAGTGTTCCTCAGCAAGGGCAACGTGAGTGGGATTTGTGGGTTGGTGGGAAAGGCTAAGATTTAGCTACTCTTGAGCTACTTGTTGTCTAAGTTTGGTATATTTAGTTGTCAGTTGTTAAAGGTTAGCTAAGCTAACCTTTATATTCATTCAGCGTTTATCTGTCTCTAACCATTTAGCTAAATATGAAGCTTAATTTTTTTCCTCTGTTAAATGTCATATCTTGTCTGTGTCTTTTTTAGCTGTTAATCTTAGTTTGTTTCACTTTGAACAAAATTTTAGCTCACAGATATTTATTAAAGCTCAGGATTTACATTATTATTATTATTATTTATTTATACTACAGCAAAGGTTTTCTCTTATTTTAGCTTTGTATAAACTGCCTTACTGTTATTAACACCTTTGTCTTTTGTTTGTTTTTTTCAATCTCTGGCTTAAAATATACAAATACTTAAAATAACATTCTTTACATGTCATCAGAAATGGGAACAGCATGTGCTACAGAAGTCTAGCAGAACATTTCCCACTCAGGCATTGCAAAACCTAACTGTGTGCATTTTACTGGGGTATTTAAAGCCCCATTATGAGAATTACAAGGCTAATTTCAGATATTTCATTTGCATTCTGAGCCTGGCTCTTGCTAATGTGTGACCTTGCTCTGACCCACAAGGCTGTGGAGTTCTAACTTTTGAGTTATTATTTCTACATCTTACATTTTTTAATATTAATGGCAGTTTGGATCGTCATGGCGTTCATTAAGGGGATTATTTACCAAAAATACAGATTGTTTGTGCAGTTAATATTTATGTTTGTTGGCTGGTTTGATTGTTTAGATGAAAGCCAAGTTTTTGCAGCTGTTGCCAAGCAGTCTTTATCTTTGAACATCTGCAGAAATTTCACTCGAGGACTGAAAAGTCTTCATAAATTTTCTTCTTCTTTTTTTTGTCAGGGGGTGATGGAGGAGGCCGGCATTTTGACTGGTGACAATGCCTTTAACGCTCACTTTGGAGAATGCATTAGTGCAATTGGAGACATAGATGACGATGGTTATCAAGGTCAGTACAGAATTGTTGTACTTGAAACCATATATTTATACTTGTGTTAAGAGATTCGTCGACTCACGTGAGCCATGAGTTGTAGCTGCTTTGTTTAACATCAGCCATGTTATTTTCATTATGTTTTGATTCCTCCACATTAGGGAGGTTCCCTTTAGTACAAAAAACAAATGAGTATTGACAGGATGCTTGCTGAGATAAGAAAAAAAAAGTTGTGATAAGCTTCACACATATAAACATTAAGTTCCTGCGCTGGTTGTGCTCTTTCCACGTGTGCAATTCCTATTTCATAGTCATGCTTACAGACTCTTGCAGTGAAAACAGAGTTACATGTTTTATTTTGTTTAAAGTTTAAGGTGCCAAGATGTCTATGAATGTGCTTAAAACAGACCTTTTACTCCAAACAATTGACATGATTCTAAAGTGTCCGTGGGCATGCTAGTTATTTGTAGCCACTGGTGAGAGGTCAGAGCAGAGCTGGGGGCCATGTTTTATTCTGTACTATTAACCTTTAATGGCCCTCCTGTGGTCTGTGAAGTAAAGCTGTCTTCAGTGCTATTGTGCCGTAGTCATGCAACAGAAGTGTTTCCTCTGTCATCTGGAGAGCTGGTAACTTCCGGAAGCCACAGACAAACGTTGACTTACTGAGATGTTTTGTATGTGCCACAAAACACGTAATCTCCACAGATATTGTGTTTTGATTCCCCAAGGGTAAATGTTGGAAAGGCTTTGATAAAAAACAAACTCTTTTTTTTATCTTATGCTCATGTGCATGGATTCATCCAGGAGTTGCCAAAATTAGCTGAGCACACAGACGCTTACATTGCTTGCTTCCCTGGTGGCTTAATTTGGCTTCCGTCTCAAGCTTGAGGTTGGAGGCCAATGTCTGTTTTCATCTCCGTGTGTGATACGCTTCAAGGCTTGCAGCCTGGCACTTTAGGTGAGTGTGTGTGTGTGTGTGTGTGTGTGGTGGTTTAATGTGTGCATGGAGAAGGATGGCAGCTGAGAAGTATAATTCATCCTGTAAGTCTTCAGTGAGGCAGTGTCGAAAGAGCCAGACTTCCTCGCTGACTGAGAATATTATTTACGGCTTCGCTGCTACCATTTCATCTGAACGAGCTACTGTAGAAATAAGGAAAATAACATTTACTTTTACGTACAACAAAATGATGTCATAATTGTGGGAGTTTTCCTTGGTTCAATTCAATATCTGGTTGTTTCTACTTTCCGTTTGCAGAGCCTGCAACGCTGGGCTGAAAGTGTTTTGGTTTATAAAAAGAAAGTTTTAAATGGAGGAACTTTGTGTGAGAAGGCTGTTTCAGGGCTTTCGCCAACACTTTATGGTCTTGTTTCCACTCTCTCAGAGGTTGCGCATGTTTTTATAGCCACTAACAACACTTAATTGTCTATTAAGACTCTTACTGTAACCACTTGTTTCCCAGGCTCTGGCCCAGGGGAGAGTAAACACAGGGTTAATGAGAGCATTTGTACACACTCTGACAAACATGCACAGTTATTTAATTTTCATTTAAACTTTATTTTAAACACTTCCTCTCCTGGTTTTGTCCCACAGATGTAGCCATTGGAGCACCCAAAGAGGATGACTATGGAGGAGCTGTTTATATCTACCACGGCGATGCCACGGGAATCATTAGCAAGTACTCTATGGTAAATGAATTTTCTGTACATTCCAGTAATTACTTGTTTCCCCTGGTTTTATAAATAAACAAGTAATAATACCAAATTAGTGCAATTTCTAGTTGCTCAATTTCAGCCTAATGGGAGTTTTCTGTTTGGAATACTCTGTATGCTCTGCTGGTTCCTTAAATAGTTTGTTATGGATGGAGAACAGCAATAATGTTATGGTGACAGTCAGAATAGATTGCAAAAGGTTGCAATAATGATTTCATAAATGTCCTGAATTTTGCTGCTAGAGTTGTTAGTGCTCTTTCCTTACTACAAAAAGTTCAAAGCAGTAAAGTGCAGTAACTGTTAATCCTGTTGTGTGTAGTTTGCATATTGTTCTCATGTGCATGGGTTTTTCTTCTGGCACTCCTGTTTCCAATCACCATCATCCAAAAATATGCAAAAGTTCTCTCTTAATTGACCATAAAATGAGTGTAACTATTCGAAGCAAATGTAAATGCTTCAAATAAAGGTTTAAAAAAAATCAACAAATATGCCAATCCTAGGCTGAAATCTCACAGATTTCCACAATATTGGTAAAGGCAAAGGTCGATCTTTGAAAAAACAAACTGTACAAAAACATGTTGCACAACATGTTGGCTAAGACTTCCATTTTAAGGCTGGTATCATCTGTTACAGAAACTGTCCGGGCGTAGGATAGGCCCTGGTCTGCAGATGTTTGGCCAGTCAATCTCTGGCAACGTGGACATGGACAGCAATGGATATGCAGGTAAACTGTCAGAGCAGACCAGAACACAGAGAGAATGTTTGGGAAAAAGGATTTCAAACTGTTTGTTCGAGCATTGTCTGGATTTCAGGCTCCCATTCTTCTGCAGGGTTGAAACTCGTGATAGCTGCGTCTTGTTTGTGACATTCCTCAGCTGACATTCAAACTCAGTCAGCATGACTGTTAATGATGTCTGTGCATTGTTTCAGATTTACAGGTATAAACTGTTGTGTCAGCAGATGTGACATCGCCGTCATGTTTCCTTTGTCTTTTGCATTTTTATTGCAGATGTTACAATAGGAGCGTTCATGGCAGACAGCGTTGTGTTACTGAGGTGCGTGACTCTTCCACACTCCTGTGACACTCCACTCTGCCTTTAACTCAGGTCTAATTTCGATGCGTCCCTTTCTGTGGTTCGGTTCTAGGTCCCGCCCTGTCATAACGGTGGATGCCTCCATCTTACTCCCGGCCTCCATCAACATCTCAGTGCCTCAGTGCCACGAGGGCCACCAGAACCTGAACTGTTTCAACGTCACCGTCTGCATGCGTTTCCAGGGGAGACAGCTGCCTGGGCATATAGGTGAGTGAAAACATGACAAAACAATTCCTGTGAAAAAAACCTGAAGATTAAAAATACATTTAGAACATAGGGTTGAGGCAGTGGTGGCTTGGTGGTTAGGGAAGCAGACTTCGGTCTGGAAGTTTTCAGGTTTGAGTCCACCAGCTGCCAAGTTGTCAACAAGGTCCTCTGAGCATGACATCGTCCCCACACACTGTTCCCCGGGTGTTTAAGCTGCCCCCTGCTCACTCTGGTGATGGGTTAAAAGCAGAGGTCACATTTCATTGTGTGCAAGTAATTCAATTTAACTGAAAAAAAAATCTGCTGCAATCAGAGGGCCGTGGGACCTGGTCCCCAGTGAGCATCTAGTTACGTCACCCAGTTGTGGACACAGCCATTGTCCTCCTAGGGACTGTCTTGATTCTGTATTAATTCAGAGAGTTTTGCCTGGAAATAGCAGCTGGAAATGATCCTTATTATCAGAGTATCTTTAGCTGAGGACAATGGTCAGCTCTGCTCCTTCACCCGGGGTCAACGACCTCAGTCCAAGCCCCATTTTTTTTAACTGTATTGTCGTCACACTGAATTTTAAAAATAAATCTCCCTCCCAGTCTGACATCCCTCAGCGGACGTTGTTGATTTCTGTAGTCAGTGAGAAGCTCATACACGTGTGTTGATTCAGGTTGAAATTCTCCCTATGTTAACCTTTAGTGTGACTGAAGCGTGGGCCCTTGGTGGCCTGTGTCCTGTCAGTCCTGTCTGACTGTCAGTACTGGTGTCTGACAGTTTACCCTTCAGCTTTTGCCTTTTTATTTTTTTTTGGGTGCGGTGCCTGTTGAGCACAGAGGTGCACCCCTGTTCCAGTGTTTGGGTGTGGTTATTCTTGAACACCACCCCCTCACACACACACGCACTCACACCAGGGGAGCAGGATCTGTCATTGCATAATGATCATATCCTGGTCTGCAGGAATAAAGCTCCTCTGTTTAACCTCCTGGCGAACACCATGGAAAGTTGAGCAGCATGTGTTTGGTGAGTCCCATAATGAAACCCTCCTCTGCCTTTTTTGGAGCAGAGCTCATGGCGTTCCCTCTGTTGGACAGGAGGAAACAGTAGGCTTTGGTCCTGCTGGACTATGTGTGTGCCACCCCTCCCACTCTTTTGACGGTGTGACACCCTCTTGAAGCAATTACTACAGACTGAAGCTGATTCATTCAGAGGCGTGGGTTTGAAAAAGTCAGAGGTCCTTAAATGGTTATCTCGGAAACACTGGTAATGTCTGACTTCACAGTTACGATTTCAGAATACGGTCAATTCTGAATTGTCTCATAGTCACTAAAGCCAAGGGAGGAACCAGCAGGCATGGTTTTTTATTGAAATGTTTTCTTTCACAGCAACACTTGACTTCCCCGGAAAATGAATTTCCTTTATGTCAATCTTGGTCTGCTTACCATAAGCTGCAGATGTATCTGCAGCAAAAGTCAATTTAAAAGTTTCCATAGCAACGTGATCAAAGAATAATGTTAGTCATCTACAATGTGTATACTATGTGTTTTGTTGAACTCTTAAGCAAATTGGAAGTAAAATAGAACTTGGTTCTGTCAACACCTACACCTAGCAATAAAATATAATAAGATTCAGGGGGACAGGGGAAATTCCTACACAGAGGCAGAAACTGCTGCTCAATGAGCTAGAAAAGAAGTTTCAATTTTCGTCATGAAGAAGGACAATCAGTAATGTCTTAACTTTGTCTTAACATTTTTGTGATTCAAAATGAGCAAATACATTGACATTGTTATACTGTATTTAAGGGCAGCTCAGAACAAAGGGCTTCTGTAACAGTAAGTTCCTTCAATATAAAGTGACCAAGAAATGTCAAACACGTTCCCATCTTTCCCGCTGTCATGTTTAATTTGACTCAACCATGATTGATTTGTTCCTGTGTAATAAACACACATAGCACAAAACCCAAACCTTTCATAGCCTAACTGTTTTTCTGAGCTGATGCCTGCTTACACAAACACCGGCATCTGTCAATATCATATGTCTCTTCTCAGAGCTGCTGTACAACCTGACAGCTGATGCTGATAAACGGCAGAAGAGCCAGCCCGGGCGGGTTTACTTCATGAACGGTGGATCTCAGATCAGCCAGATGAGCCAACAGCTTAGCCTGGACATCGACAGGGAGGAGTGCCAGCTCTACACTGTTTACGTAAAGGTATGTTGGATCATCCGGCCCGGGGCATGGTGCTGGGTTTTTCCATGTGCCGCCCGTGTCCTTAACCGATCCCTCGGTTTCTTTCCCATGACTCGGAGCAACCTCACCCTGCATCGGTGATTTATGATCCCACTTATTTGTTTTTGTGGCCCGTGTTTTTTCCCTCTTGTTTATTTATTTGTTTCGGGTGTTGGTTTATTATCATTTCCCTAGAATTTGTTGGCACAAAAAGAGAAAAATTAAGCTGTCTATTAAAAATAACGGCCATCACTTATTGAAGCTCGTAGTGATGTAATACATGAGGCTGCTGAAGCCAAAGGCTATCATTTAACTGGCATCCGCTGGGAAGCTCGCTGCGTTGCCTGCTGGGTACCGTTTAAGTAACTGATGAAACTAAGCTGCTCAAGTGTGTCTCTGAAGGAACTGAAAGACACAAGAAACAGTGACTTCATTGTCATGGCATAGTCCCTTTATTGTGTTCTTCTGTAATGAACTGGTGTAGTCACAGAGACCTCGTCCTGAGGTCACCCTCTGTGTTTCACCTCCTCTAATACAGAGGCAAACTACAGGCCTGTAAATTTCATTGGCCTTCCTGACTGGATTCTGCAGGCACTTTCACCATGGGAGGCAGAGCTGCTAACTAAGGGGGGGCTGTCATCACGGCGCCTGCCTCTCTTTCTTCCACCCTTCAGGCTGTACTGCGTGTGTATCAAACAGAGCAGAGCAGTCACAGCAACGAACCCCTTCATTCAACCCAAAACACAGACATCACACTCGTCAAGGTTTATTCGTCAGCGTCTGGCTGGTGTTAATCCAGTCTCCTTGTAAACCTGCACCACGGAATTCAAATGTAATTCTCACTTCCCTTTTGTTAAAGTTTCACTACACTCCAACACTGGCATGGGGCTAAGTCATGTACAAGTAGTGTCACTGCCCAAAGTAAGTCTGACATTTCAACATACTTTCAACAACTGACATACCCACCGTGTTTGTGGGCGGCGGAGTGAATGATCATTCAGCCGAAGCACACAGCTGCCTCGTCTGTGGCATCTCTCTGGCTGTGACATAAACACTACGAGGCGTCCATCAGACGCGCTGACGTCAGTCTGGAGATTCTAGAGCTGTGTTAATTAGTTGAGTCTCATTTTTTCTGGACACAGGAATTACCTTAACGTGAAGAATCTGAGCCGTAAAAGGTTTTGTTTTGCTCTGTTTGAAGATGTAAAAAGACAATTAGTGATTGTAATTTAAATCAAAACACCACATTAACATTCTGGTGTATTGATGGAATAATAATCATAAAGAAATAGCCCCTATCCCCAGGCTTAAAATAACACTATCTCTAGCATATTAACAGCTTAGACAGTTTTGTGAATATTTGAAACAAGCTTTTTTCCCAAACATTTTCTTTAGTCTAGTTTTGTTTTCCTGTGTGCAGTGTAAAACCCAGAGTGTCTGCCGCTGCAGCTGCAGGGAATCATTTTTCTCCCTACATGTATTCACAGATTCCACCTGTTCATTCGCAAAAACTCCTGCCCCTACCAAACACTGAAAGGTGTGTGGCGAAGGTGTGGTGCCCAGATGATGAAACTGGTAAACCAGACTGTTTACACACTGAATGGCTTGTATATGTGTGTATGGGAGTAATGGCCAACCATGATAACAGAGGCACTGAATGGCTTGTATATGTGTGTATGTAATGGCCAACCATGATAACAGAGTTGAATGAATCACCATCATCAGAGAGGATCTGTGTCTCTGCCGTTCACATCTGCCTGACTGTCGTTCATCATCGTCCTCGTGCGTCTGCCCACATGAGTCAGAGCTCCCATTCCTTAGGAGAGGTATGCTAATGCAAACCAGCTGGCTGCCATCCTCAAGGGTGAGCAGTAGTGGTGGAGGTTGGGCTCTTCACTCTCCCCCCTTCCGCTAAGTTAAAAACATGCCGGGCTGCAGCCCCATGGTCACAGCGGGGTGGTGGGTTGCTGTTGTGTCATCTGGGGCTGCATGCTGGCGCTGCTGATGGAAAACCCTCACGTCAGGGCTGATTGCTTAAGACCCGGAGCTTGGGGTCTGGTGGCGGTGGTCCAGCAGCTATTCTGAGACACACTCATTTGTAACTACTCTGACCAACTGCCCACTCAGTTTATGAACTATTTTAATTCAACCCTTGGAAATTATCTCTATTAAAAGCAGTTCAATTAGGCACAAACATGCAATAGTGCAACTGACATTCTCAACTAATACCATCTGAAATTGGGTTAAAAAAAACACATCAAAAATCATATGGTGTTGAGAACACAGAGCAACTATTCTGAGAACACCTAACACAGAAGCCAGTGTTTGAATCCGGAATTTCTGCACATGTGAGTTGGACGGAAATTATGCAAAACCTTCATGTTGATCATTTTAAACATGTTTTCCCTGGCGCTGATAAAAACAGCACGCCTGTCCTTCATTTGGACTTTGTGTAGTTATTTTTAGAAAAAATAAACTCGGCACAGGCTTTTTCTCCAGTTGTACCTCAGGTTATAGGCAGAAAAAGCAGTGGTGACTGATGACTGATCAGAACTCATGGCCAGAGGTGCTGCGTGCAGGAGATGGAAATGAGTCACACGTACAACAAGAGAGGCGGGCATTCTTTGGTCGTATGTGTAGTATTTGGTAATGTTGAACATGTGTAGAGAAACAGCTCAAAGGTTAGGGCTGTGTTTAGTTGTGTTTTAGTTTTAGTTGTGATATTTTACTTTGTAAAACATGGATGTTAAACACAGTAGTTCAGAATGACCTTTGACACATGGACTGAGGACGGATGATTACTGTTATTTGATTCCTGACACTAATGCTGCAGCATGGAGCCTCTGCCAATATGGAATACAATCCAATACCTTTTTATCTTCTGTTTTAAATAAGTGTACTTTATATTGATATTTTGTATGTAAAGCACCTTGTTTAAACTGGAATACATTTATCCAATAACACTAAGGGAGACTTTGAAATACATCCTCAGCTGCAGTTTTAATAAGCAGACAGACTCACCAGTCAAACATGTATTTTAACAATGGAAATTTTAATTACAATTCCAGTATGTAATAACATAACTCACAGTGTGACCGGCACTGCAAACCAGTTTGTAATGTGAACCATAACTTATTTAACAAATGATTTCTTCACATCAGTGCAACATGATAGAAACTTTATTTCCCAATTTTTATTCTTTTTGGCTAATTATTTCTTAACATTTACATTACAACATTTTTACTACAAAATGTACTCTGTGCAAGACAAGACATTAGACATGAATTCAGTTTGTGGTGTTGAAACTTCCTGCTGCTGCAGCCTGGCATTGGTGTTGCACAAGTTGCCCTCACTTCTCTCTCTTTTCTCTGTGTAAAATGACTCCACCCAGCCAACATGACAACAACACCGGAGTCATAGACTGTCTGTATTTTGGCTGCTGCTTTCATCAAACATGCTGTAAACGCCATGTCTCAGTGGCAGATTGGGATTATGGTCAGATTGGTTTGGACCTTTCTTGATCCTGAGATTCTGGCTCATATTGCATCAACACCAAGCCTAGATCCTCCTCAGTATGAACCAGCGGATAATCTGACCAATAGAATTCTTTACTTTACTTTCATGCTTATGATGTATTTCCTGAATTTCATCCTGGTTCTACAGTGGAGCCGATGAAATGTACAGCATGTCATACTTCAAACAAATTCACCCTTAATGATGTAATAAACGGTTTGGCTGGAAACTGGCTCTCACTGTTCTCTCAGCTGTGATTTACTTTATGTCTGAGTAAACACAGTCAAAGACTTCTTCACTTAGATGTTTGGCACTTATGCCTTGGGCACAGCTCGTGGCATGTTTACATTTTTTAGATTCATCCATCTTCAGGTACATGTTTATGCTGCACCGGTCCCATCAGCGCACGTGAGCTTTGAAACCGAGCCAAGAGCCATGTCCATATGTAGTCATGAGTGGTAATATGTGACTCTGTAAGTGCAGCACACTGTCCCTTGAGGAGCTAAAATAGGCAACACGAGCCCTGCCTGTAACAGTTGTCTGTTTAATTTAGCTTGTAAAGTATCCTGCTCACTTTCCTCTGGCCCATATTCCACTATGCGTGTGCCCTATATCTCATGTCCCACTCCAACATTTGCTCGGCACCAGTGGACTATTCAAAGTCCATTTAACTCTGAAGACTGATGTTGTTATTGGAGCATCTGCAGGATAGATATCTATTTGTGAAGACTTAGTGCTTTGAGGCCCTCTCCAGTTTCCAGTCATGTGACTGAATGGAAAAACTAAACTGTGCGGACATGTTCAAAGGGAGCGTTGCTGTGCATGAGAGGGACAAACGATGGAGGATGATGTTGATAAAGGAACCAGGAGATTTGAACTGGCCTGAAGTAAACATGCTCATTCAAACTGTCAGGGTAATTGTAACAGCATTTTACAGCATCAGTGCAGACATCTGTCTAAAAATGACTTTACAAACCACTTCAAATAGGACAAGAAAAAATTAGCCTAGATATATAAAAAAATGATGGGATTATAAGGAGACAAAAGTTTTCGACTGCCATTTTTGATGAAGTGATTTTAATTTAATGCTTTTGGAATACATATACTATTACTAACTATTTACTATAATTCATATGGTAATTATATATTATTCAAACAGTTGCACTTTCTGACGTGTACTTTTAAGTATTCTCTTCTAAAGTTGAGAATTCATGTTTTGTGATTTAATATAGGATTAACTCTAGGGCAGAAGAAATGAACGCATAAATCAAGTGTGAAATTCATTATGATTAATTATAATCATGATGAATCCACAGCTACCCCGTGATTAATCAGATTAAAGTTTTAATGACAGCCCTACTTATATCTTACAATGATGAATAAAAGCTGTTTCAGAGAATTTGAAGAATCTTGAACTTTTGACCTGTCTGCTGTAAAAGTTCATCTTCCACAGAAAAGTCTTTTCAAAG